CCTTCTGTGTCAGGGGGTGATGAAGCAGGACCCATCTCATCTGCAGCCCCTGGCCCTGACAGTCTGTCCCCAGCCTCTCCAGAAGGTGAAACTGGCCCAGGTCTTGGTCTGGTGCAGGGGGCTGAGAGTGCAGGGGATGTGGCACAGGCAGAAAACCCAGAGATTGGAAATCCCAACATAGAGACAAATCCTTCAGGTGTCAGCCCTCAGCAGGGTGAACTGCCTGGTGCAGGTTCCTCATCTGGTTCAGCCTCTCCCAGTGGTGATGTCGCAGCATCCTCTGTTTCAGATCCATCCAGCCTGGGTGCCCTGGGAGACACAGGCAGTGCTGCTGGAGGTGTTCAGCCTGCCCTGGGTGCTGGCACTGGGATCCTTCCTGCTGCAGGAGAAGGGGCAAGTGAAGGGGCTGGTTATGTAGGGTCCACAGGGCAGTCCCAGGCTCCTCCTGGAATGGGACCAGCTGGTTCAGAAAGCCTTGATGGAGAAACGGGAGGTGTGTTGCAGTCTGCATCTTCTTCCTCATCTACAGAGGAGTCTTCATCACCAGGGAGGACAGGTGAGGCTGCTGATGAAAAAGGCCTTCCTGGAGCTACTGCAGCTGGTGCTGGCTTGAACACAGGTTTGGGGGCTGCTGGCCCTCAGGAAGCCTCTGTGTCTGCCCCTGGATCCCAAAGTGGTGCCAATACTGAACTTTCCAATGGAAAACTGAGCGAGGTCGATGTGGTGGAGGTGCCTGGAGGAGCCTCAGTGAATGGGGGACCTGTCCCTGGTGCCAGCCTGATCCCAGTGGCTCCAGACGACAGCGGTGTTTCCAGTGGCATGACCCCCTCAGTGCCTGGCTCCGTGCCTCTCCCTGGACAGGGGCTGAGCTCGGGGCTGGCACCCAACTCTGCCCCAAGCACCCAGAGTGGGAGCAGCCCCTTGCTGCCAGGGTCACCAGGGGGGCTGCCAGAAGCAGCTGGAGGAGCTCAGTCATGGTCTCTTGAAGATGAGGTGGCCTCAGGCATGCCAGCACCTTTGGGAGAAGCATCCCCTCGTGCTCCCACATCCCCCAACGCTGCCCCAGCACGGCCTTCTGCTCCACAGAGAGGGAATTCTGCAGAGGAGGTGTCTGCCAGCCCTGGGCCTCTGGCACGTGAGTCCATAGTGGGGTCCTCTACAGGGGGAGAGGGCGAGCTGGGGGCTGCTGTGCCAGGGGGAGCTGCCCTGCTCCTGCCTCCCCAGGAGCCGGGAAGCCCTGGAGCCCCCTCTGGGGATGCTGACAGCCCTGCTCCCGGAGAAGGGAGTGCTGTGCTCCAGGGAACCAGGACAGGGGAGGGGGATGTAACCCATCTCCTTCCCGGGGCACAGATTGAGGCTCACTCCCCACCTGGGCTCCCTGGCCTTCCTCCCTCTGGGATCACTACTGGCAGTCCTGAAGCACAAACCCTGGGGCCAGGACCTGCTGGTGGCTCATCACCCCCTGCCCTGCAGCCACCCCTGGTCAGGGAGCTGACCACCAGCCTGGCAAACAGAGCCCCTGCTGCCACCCCTGGGTCAAGCTTTGCTGGAGCCTCCCCAGGCCAGGGGGGATCCCAGTTCGGGTCCCCAGGCACATCCTGCAGCCTGGCCCCAGCCCCAGCAGCCCCCCTGCCCAGAGGCAGGGAGGTGCTTCCCAGGCCAGGAACAGCCACTGCCACCTCCCATGCATTGTCCCCCGTGGTTCCAGCTCCACCAGGAGTGCCAGCAGCTGCCCCAACCCTGCTGCCCAGTCCTGCGGTACGTGATGCTCACAGAGCAGCCTGGGTGGGACTTACACATCCAGTTTCCTGATGGACCATCCTCAGGGACATTCAGTGCCCAGAAAAGAGGGGATCTATTTGAAGGCAGGATCCTGGGGGAGACACGGCCTGAGGAGTCCTTGCACGTGAGCTTACAATGTTGGCAGGCTGAGCCTGCTTTCAATACAGTCCCATCAGCTGGAAAACTCATCCCCTCCAAATTTTTTTTTTTTTTTACAGACATAAATAGGGAGCTGGAGGCTGTAGAAGTCTCTAGAAAGAGCTGTGGGTGTTTAATTCTGTGCTGTCCCCTGCCACAGTCCTTGTACAATGTTCTTCCCCTCATAATTTCAGTCATTCAGTGCAGTGTCCCAACAGGGCTGGCTGAAGCAGGGGACAGTGACCACAAAGGCCATCACAGGAGGTTTAGGGCAGCTGTGTTTGTGTAAGGCAGGGAAAGGAGGGGGAACAAGCTCCTGCAAGGGAAGGTGACATGCAGAGTGTCCCTGGAGGCTTTAAGCAGTGTCCCCTCATCCTTCTGGTGCCCAGGTTCTGTCCCAGTAGGAGCAAGATAATTTCAGCCCTTTTAAATTTTTGATACAGAACAAAAGCTTTGCTGTAAATGTGTTTTGGGTTTACTGTTTGTTTGTTTGTTTGTTTTCTTTCCCAGTTCCAGCTGTGCCTCTCTATGGGTATGGAGCAAGGGAAAATGATCAGGTGTACGTGGAAAGAAGAGTAGACTTTAATTCTCCACTTTTCAAGCCCGAGACTGGATTCCCATTTGGGAGAACTCTGCGCAGCTCTCTCTATGTGAGTCCACTTGGGCTTGACTCGTTGGGCAATTGGCCATCACCTAAACCCCTGAGAGAGGCACCAGGGACCAGGTGCCTGGCATGGGACTGTTGTGGGGCTGAAGCTGTTGAGATGCTGCTGGGATCTGTTTGCAGCAGAAGGTGACTTTGTGGCCATTTCAGCAGTGGCAGGTGGTGGCTTTCCTTGGGCATTGCTCAAAATGGACTTGGAAATGGGAGGGCTGGCATCCCCATGCCAGGCAGTGCTGCTGGTCCTGACCTCACCTGATGGAGGGATCCCTCTGCTCAGTTCACAGACAATGGACAGATCATTTTCCCAGCCTCGGACAACAACATCCTCACGTACCCCAACCCTCCTGCCAGTGGCTTCAATGGCCACGAAGAGGTCCCCATGATCGCTGTGTTTTGGGACAACGCTGACTTCTCCAGAGGTGTTGGCACCACCTTTTACCAGGTGAGTGAAGCCACCTGGGAGCGCGATTGCACAAAACACCTTTTGATTATAAGCTCATCACTTATTTTGTGGATGCCTCTTGAGAAGTGTAATTAATGGAGCCCATTAATGTTTTTTCCCTTTTCTGAGCCAAACCTAAGAGCTGTTGGTGCTATGTCACCTCTTTAGCTATCCAAATCCCATCCAGCACTTTGGCTAAAGGGCTCTGAGTGTGACCCCAGCCTAGGCCCACTGGGAGCTGTGACCCCAGCCTTTTGTCCCCGTGGGAGCTGTGACCCCAGCCTTTTGTCCCCCTGGGAGCTGACACAGACGTTGGTGTTCCCAACCCCAGGAGTTCTCCACCCTCAACACAGCCAAGCCGCCCTTTGTCCGTGACGTGGAAGCGAAGGTCCGGCGCTACCTGAGGTCCTCCTACTCTGCAGCCTGGACCCTGAAAATCACCTGGGAGAAGGCACCTGCCCATGCAGCACGGACTGACACCCGGAAGGTAAGGGCTGATGAAACACAGGTGCTGTTGAATTGTCAAAAAACACCAAGACCCGCAGGCAATGACCTTCTCTGTGCTTGAATATAAGAACCAGTTTTGTGACAAAGGCCAATCTTGAAGAATTTTGCCAAAAAGGACAGGGCTGTGCCCATTTTTTGGTGGTTTTCAGGGTTTTTGAGAGACAGTTTTAGTTGAACTTCCCCCATTCCATAAAACCTTTCCCTTTAAGGTGGTGGGAGTTTATTATGCACCAGAAATGCTGTTTTTCAGAGGCATAAAATTGGGTGAATTTGAAGCTTGTCATGGAACAGTTTCAAAGTAAAATCATCACATTTTCCATATGAAATGTGAACCAGGCCTAGCTGTGTTTGCCTTGTTTCCCTCCAGACCTCAGTCTGGCCATTCCCCAGCAAGCACTGCCCCACACCCTGAATTTTAAACCCCACATCTTCACTTACTTTCTTACCTGTCTGCAACCCTTCTCCCCAGACTATCACGTACCAGGCTGTCCTGACCACTGATGGCTTCAGGTCCTACATCCTGATGCTGTACCAGGATGGAGGCATGCAGTGGGATTACACCAGGCTCCCTTCCACCAATGTGCTCATCGGCTACACCAGGTACAGCAGCTCAGCACCCCATCCCTGCCTCCTCTGGCACTGGGGTGCATCCCACCCACAGCTCCCACTGGTTGAATCCATCCCCTATATCCCAGGGAGTGCCCTAAAGGATGAGGACAGCTCAGATGTGGTCTGCATGCCTATACATTCTAACATATAGGGGTCTCACAAACACATTCACCCCATTAGGGACTGGATCATGCTGCAGCACGCTGTCTTGCTGGGCTATGCTTGTTGTAAGAGCCACAAATCCCCCTGGAGTGCTGGGCCCCCAGCATCCTGGCGGTTTGGGTGGAAGGAGTGGGAAATAAGGGATGTTTGCTGAACTTTGCACCAGCTGAGGGAAGGGATTTCCGTGCTTGGCCGGAGCAGTTGCTTCCTGCCTCCTCGCATTACGTCTCTCCCTGTTCACGCTGTCTCCAGGGCTTTCTCATTAGCTGCCTGCTGCAGCTGGGTAAGGAAAAGGTGGCCCAGATGGGAAGCACAGGCAGCACAGGAGTGTGTGTGTGTGTCTGTGTGTCTGTGTGTGTGCCTGTGTGTGAATGACCACTCGTGGGTTTCTCCTCCAAATCGCCTGGCAAAATGCTGGAAACCATGGAAGCTGCTCGTGGGGGTCTCCAGATGCCTGTGGGCTCAGCCCCTGGTGCAGCAGGAGTGTTTGCAGCACCCAAAAAGAACTGTACCCCACAGAGAGGAGGAAGCAGGCTGGGCAGCTCATTCCTTTGTCCTCCTGTCCCAAGAGCTGTCATGTGGGTGCTGCAATTCCACTGGCACGGGGTCAGGATGGCTGGAGGGCAGGCTGGGGCTGGGGCTGGGATAATCCCACCCAGGAAGAGCAACCTCTGATTTTTCCTCTTTTCTCTTCACTCAGTGGGGATGGCTTTTACCACAATGATGACCTGACTAAGAGACCTCCAGCTGCCAAATATCGCCCTGACCAGTTCAGGGGCTACAACACAGGTAGTGCCACAGAGCTGGGGTGGGTTCACAAGGAGGGGAATATTCCCAGGGAAGAAAATCCAGCCTGCCACTGTGGCAAGGCTCTCACTGAGTTCTCAAGGCCAGGCTTTCCCCCTGAAGCACATTTCCCCTGGGTACCCACTATGCCCTAAGGCTGAAACATCTCTGCTGTGCCCATGGTCACTTTTTGTGCCAATGGCTCTGTCCCAAGGCTTTCTTCTTTGACAAGAGCCTCTCCCCCTGTTTCCCTTCTGTTGAGTGGCTGTTCAACATAGGGTGGAGGTCACTGTGGGTTTAGCTTCCAGCATCAGCACCGCATGACTCTCACCTTGAGACAGAACAGCCCCTGTGGTCCCCTTGGCCAGAGGTGACAGTTCATGGTTTCTCTCCCTGCTCAGACCTCCGTGGGTTCTGGATTTACAAGCTGGAGAGCCGCGTGGGCATCAACTACCGGCTGAAGTGCCTGGCGTGGACAGGGCAGCAGCAGGAGCCCCGGGCATGGAGCCAGGGCCTGCCCACCTGCCCCTGCTCCCTGCAGCAAGGGCAGCAGGACCCACGCTTCAAGAGCAGCCGTGGAGGCAAGTGGACACACTGCTACCTCACCCTCCCCATCCCCAGGCTGTCCTTCCCCACCTTTCCTGCAGGGGTGGCTGGGGTCCCACCTGGCAGGGCGGGCAGGTGACCCTAAGGAAAAGGAGCGGGGGACTGGCCTACCCTTCAGAGACAGGAAAAGTGAGGAGGATTGAGAGCTGACCTCTTCTTGTCTTATTAGACTGGCCAGAATTGGTCTGACCTGCATGGAGATGCTGGGGACCAGGGTCTCTCCCTGGGGACCACTTGCATGGTCTCCATCAGTTCCCCCAAACCCCTGCAGCACCGTGGGTGATGTGGTGGCAGTGCTGGATAACGAGGAGCCAGCTCTGGCCCAGTCCTTGCCCTGAGGCAGGTGTGCTGGCTGGGCAGAGCTGTCTGAGGCTCCCTGGTGCCCATTTCAGGCAGGTGGGGTGCCCGTGTCTCCATGCTGCACTCGGCCTCCCCCAACCAGCACGGCGCCGGCGTGCGCTGCCTGTACGACAGCCAGGACCAGCTCATCGAGGGCAGGCAGGAGAGGTACTGGAGGAACTCCAGGCAGGCGTCACCCTACCGTGGTAAGCACAGCCAGCCTTGGCATCCCCTGCCCGAGGCTGGCATTGTTTAGCCTGTAAATAATTTTAATCTCTGTGCCAACCTGTTTCCTGATATGCTGTTTCCCTTGGAGGGAGTGTGGAGCTGCCAAAAGCCTTGCCTGGAACTGGCCCATCTCCCTCCCCTTCCCTTCAGCCCCTCACTGTCCTTTTTGCCCCCAGACCAGGAGCTGAAGTTGTATGACTGGTGCTGTAATCGGGCGGGCAGTGCCCACCTCTGTGCCCGCTACAGCGAGAAGAGGCCGAAGATTGGCTGTGATGGATATCAGTCCCCCAGCATGGGTGGGTCTGCAGCTCATGTGCACTGGGGCTGTGCTGTCTTGGTGCCCAGGGCTGGGAGGGGAGCGGGAATGTCCCAGCCTCCCTGTGGTTAAGGCAGCAAGAGCCCTGAGCAGATGGGGGAAGGGTTTTGGGGTGCTCATGTGCAGGTTGTGCCATGCCCTGGGCTGTGGGGGTTGTGGAGGCACAGAGCCACCAGCACAGTCTGGAGGTAATGGCACTGGGAGGTGAGGAAGCCACAGCAAATGTGGTTATGGCGTAAGCTGACGTGGGGCTTTCTTGCAAACCTCAACAGATTCCTCTGAGGAGGCAGATAATGACTCAGATGAGCAGATAGGTGAGCAGGACTGTGGGGTCTCCTTTCCCTCTCTCCCTGTGCCCCTGCAAGAAAATGCCCTGGGGCTCCCAGCTTGCCCCTCAGGCAGAAGGTGGCTGAACAAATCTCATTTCTTCTTTGCAGATGGAGAGGACAAGTAACTGGGAGGGTTTTGCACACCTGCAGCACGTTCTGGGCCATGGCTGATCCTCAAGCCCTTTGATCTGCTCTTCCCCCGTGTCCCCCCACAGAACCCATCACCCCTGCCCACCACACAGGGCAGCTCACTTGGCAGTGCCTGCAGTTGCCTGCCCTGGCACAAGTTCACATTTCTAACCCAGTCTTGTCCCAGGGATTCAGATGCTTTAGTTGTCCTTTCCCAGATGCAGCTGGGGGGCAGAACTGGTGGGGAGGTGGGCAGGTACCCCCCAGTGCACACACCACCCTTGTCCTTCCCACATCCCACTGTGCTCCCATGCTGCAGGGTGAGGCTGGACCCCTGGGAAAGGGTTAAACACCACACATGGGTTGACTGTGGCCAAGCCCTTAAATGCCAGGGTGCACCAGGCTTGTCCTGTGAGCCTGTCCTGTCTTGTCCCCCACTTCTGTTTCCCAGCCATCCCTTCCTGAGTGGTCCCTGGGCCCTGTCTCTCCTTCAGGAGAAGGGACTATCCTCCAGATCAAGCCAGAATCAGATCAATACATCTGCTGGGTGTGTGAAGGCAAAATGCAATGCTGTGATCAGAAATGCTGGCAGAAAAATAATTTTTTCTGTGTAATAGAGCATCTTCCTTTCTTAAAAAAAAATTAAATCATTGTCAAATCTTGTTTGTTCAATAAGACCTTGGAAGGGTTTGAGCATCAGTGATCCTGCAGCAGCCATGTCCTCTGCCACACTGTGGTGGGAAGCAGTGATGGGGCAGCCTTGGAGCAGCAGGATAACAGGATATTTCTGTTCCTGGCTTTGGTACTGGAGATGCAGCTCAGCCAGGGTCTAGGGCAGTGAATGGGGTGGGAGTTGGGGATTTGATGGGGTCTGATATTCCCTCCTTGGGTCAGCATCTCCCACTCACCAGAGCTGAAGGGCTGTGGGATGTTTGTAGGGGCCAAAGCCTGACCTGTGTGATCTGAGCCACTGTAAACAGAGTCAGGAGACTTGCAGGTGTGTAGGGAAAATGAGGGGATGAAGCCACCAAAAATTTACATCCATTTTCACTTTGGCTCTGTGGAACGAGCAGAAAGCCAGGACTTGATGGCTCAATGATAGTGAAGCAGAGACCCTTGAGCAGCAGACAATTTAACAGCAAGCCAACATTTTTGGTTTATTCTATTTGGTTTTAAGGGATTACAATCACTGCATTTCCCCACCTGACCCTGCTCTCAGGGGATCTGCAGGGTCTGTTATATTGCACTAGCACATTCCCCTGGTGCAGGCACATTCCAGGATGATTCCAGGTGTCTCTGCAGGTCCTCAGGAAAGGTGAAATCCTCCTGCTATGGTCACCCAACATAAACACACATTCAAAAAAGCACCTCCTCCAGAATCCTCCCAGAACCCAAAAGGCAGCTGCCTGTCCCTGCTTCCATGCGTTGCTGCCGCTGGAGACCTCGAGAGCGAGCAGCGGAGCAGGCACCAGTGTCTGACTCCCCTGTGAGCCTGGAGGTGCCAGAAAAGGACTGGTGCCAGGTTAGGGCTGCTGGGGAGCCTGGCTGGGAGGCACAACGTGGGGTCTCTGGATTCTGATCTGTAAAGGAGGAGCAGGCCATGCTGTCAGTGTGGCCCTGGCTCTGTGCTTTGTGACGCTGCTGTGGATCCCAGTGCCGGCCAAAGCACCGGTGATGCTTCAGGGTGAGGCACAGCTCCTGAGCTCCCCTGAGGCACAGGGCCAGGATTCTGAATGGTTCAAAGTTCCAGCCCAAAGTTCCCAGCCCCAACACCCCATGGAAACAGTAACCTGGGGACAGACCTGGACTGAGGGGTCAATGGCCTGGAGCTGCAGTTTCCAATGCCTTTCCAGGGACTGGGTGGGCTCTGCTTGTTCTCCTGCCATCGTTAAAGCTGGAGCAGGGAAGATGAGTGGAGCTTGAGGACTGGGGTGAAGCAGAGCCTTAGTGGGGGGAGTTTTATAGGCATGTACTCACAGGAGAAGGGTCGTGTCCTCCACAAGGTCTCCTTGGCCCTGAGAGGGAGGAACAGAATAGGGAGAACATGTCAGCAGAGAGAGAACCCCTGCCTGCTGCTGGTGTCTGGGTCAGATGGCAGAGGGGAGCAGTGACTGATGGGGCTGTAAGAGGAGGAAAAGCCCCAGTTGTGCACACACAATTTCTTGCCTTGCCACAAATGCAAATGAACCAAGGAACTCCCCAGAAACGCTGGCTCTAGGGCTGGCAGGGAGCTGGGAGCAGGTGCAGGACACAGCTCCCTGACCAGAGCCAGGGAGATCCCCTGGGTGTAGATGCCTCTGCAGGACCAAGGGCTGGGGAGTGGGGAAGGAGATGCTGGTTTTTCTACCCCAGCCTTGCACTTTGCCATTGTTCTGTTAATTCCCTCCTCTGCAGAAGAGCAAGGTCCAATTCTCAAACCACTTCTCCCTGCTCCGGGCCAGCTCTTCCCAGACCCATGTGAATTGAAGTGGAAATCATTTGGGTGGTATGCAAATTAAAATTAAATAGAAAGCCCATCTGTAACCAAGTATTGGGTGGGATGAGGAAGAAATACAAACACTCCCTAACGTGGGGAAAAAGGAAAGCTAACATTCAACCCCCTGATGCTATTGCACCCCTGAGCAAGAGATGTCTGGAAAAGGGGCTGGAAGATATTAAAAGGTCACCCAACCACTCTCCCAGGGCAGGGTCCCCCTGCCCAAACCAGATGAGTTCTATCACTGGTGGATCTTTCAAAGGAGGATTTTTGATCAGTTTTTCCCTCTTACACTCACGCCCAGCCCCAGCCCTGTGCAGGCCCAGCCCGTGGCTCACCCCCGGTGCCGGCGGTGCTGGCGGCAGAGGCGCAGGGCCAGGCAGGCCATGGCAAACAGGAGGCAGAGCAGGGCCAGGGCTCCCAGCAGGATGCCGAGGAAGGCAGCCAGGCTGACGGCCAGCCACTCACACCGGGGGCCGGCCGGAGAGTAGATGGAGAAGGGCAGGCAGCTGTGGATGGGGAGGGAGGAGCTGTGATGCTGCGGGAGAAGCGGCTGAGCAGGGCGGCCTTGTCCACCCCAGGGTGCTGCTACCTGCACATGGGCCCCTCGGGCAGGTGCTGGCATTGGCCACCGTGCTGGCAGAAGCCCATCTTGCAGGGGGAGATGCAGATGAAGCCGATGGTCCCCATGTAGCGGAGCTGGTAGCCTTTGTAGCCATACAGAGAGCAGGGGAAGTAGTCCCTCAGCTCATCCACTGTCACTGGGGAGGGAAAGCAGCAACACCCTGGGTGTTGTGGGGCCATGGCGTTCGGCCTTGCAGCAGCACCCCTCGATGCTTCCCCAGGCCTCCCCAGGCTGGATCCACGCCTGGGGTTGGGAGGCTGCCCACCCATCTCTCCCATGGGTGTGAGCCAATCCCTGGGGCACTCAGGGTTATGGGGACAATGGGGACAGGGGTACTCCCCAGCTGACAGCCAGGAGCACTCACGCTTCACCAGGTCGGTGATGTTGTCGCGGTGCAGGCGCTGGAAGAGCAGCCCCGGGCCCGCCTCCCGCCGCCGCCGCCGCCCGTTGAAGGCGCCGGTGATGGCGGCCGGCAGCTCCTCGTTCAGGAAGCGGATGATGGTGCCCCGGCTGTCATAGGCGAACTCGGACACCACCACGAAGGTGAAGCCGTCGCTGTCTGTCCTGCAGGGAAAAGAGAGGGGTGCTGGTGGAGCTGCTGCTGCCTCTCAGAGTGACTGAGCCTCACCGTGCCTCAGTATTCCCATTTGGGCGATGGCAAGGAAGGGGTGAAGCAGGAGGGGAAGGTGCCAACAGACTTGTGTCTCCAAGGGTTTACCAGCATCAGGGCTGGAAATAGACTCTGAGCTGGGGGAAAATGCTCTTGGTGCACCAAACCCTCTGGCCCTATGCTCAGCCCTGCCCCACCTGATCCTTGGAGTGGTCACAGGCTGCTTCACATCTGACTCACATCTGGGTGATGTTGGTGTTGCTCTGGAAAGCCTTTACCTCCAGGGAGTCCAGGATGGCTGAGACCTGCAGCAGGGGGAGCAGGAAGGGATTAGGGGAAGGCAGAATGGCACCAGCATGGGGAAAGGTTGAAGAGTGATGCAGGCATTGTGGCCAAGCCCCAGGGGCTGCTCTGGCCTTTGGTTCATTTGCTGGGGACTTGGCACAGGGCCACGGCTGCAGCCATCATCATGCAATTGGTGCTTCCTCCCTCTGGGCTTGTGGATCTGCTGGGGCCCCAGAGATCCCATGGGAGGGCACACAGAGGCTTGCCCACTCCCAGCTGCCATGCTGCCAGTGTGCCAGTGTATGCCCTGCTCTGAGCCCACCCCTCCAGTGACATACAGTGCTGTTGACTTCCTCAGCAGTGGCGTTTTGCAGTGTCCTGATCCTCATCTGGATGCTTCTCCGAGGGAGACCTGCTTGGGGAGAGGCACAGTGGTGGCTCTGGCACCCCAGGAGCAGGGTGAGTGGGGCTGGGTTTCACCCCATGCTGGGCACAGGTACCCACCTGAGCTGGGCAGGGGCTGAAAATCCCCCCCTGCCACCAGGCAGCGCTGGTCGGTGAAAGCCGGGGGGCAGGAGCAGGTGGGGGCACAAGTGATGGGGTGAAGGTGGCAGCGTCCCCCGTTGCTGCAGTAGCCCTCAGGGCAGGAGTGGTAGCCGCAGGCTGAGCCACAGCCTGGCCTCTCACCTGTGGGATGGAGAGCATGGCAGAGGCATGAACCTGGCTGCAGAGCAGAGCCCCAGTCTCTGAGCCATCCTCAGCTGCTCCATAAGGCCTTTCTCCCAAGTTTTGTTTTGTTTTTCTTTTATGTGTTAGGAATTTTAGTAATAATTTAAGGAAAAGCCCCACTCCCCCTCTTTCCAGCTGGAGCCATTTGCCCTTCTTAAATCCCAGCATTAGAACAAGAGCAAAAGCCATCAACTCAACCCCACCAAAGCAATCTGAAAATAGGGCTTGATTTAGCCCCCAACCTCCGCATGTGCATTTGAACTTTGCTGGGATGAGAATTTTTCTCAAGGAGAAAAATTGCATGGGAAAAAATTCTCTTCCCAGAGGATTAGTGAGATCAACAGCCTGGGAACATGAGTGGTGGCTGGACTCTGGTCCCTTCTGTGAATGACACCAAGGGCTTGGTCACAGAGCTTGAGCAGCTCCACCTTCTCTCCTCTCTGGCTCAGGAATTCTCTTCCACAGAGTCTGGGGTGATGGGGACAAGGACCATGCCTGCCAGGGACCCCGTACTTACCCTGCTCACTGGCCAGGCAGGAGCAGATGTAGCTGCCCACAGTGTTGGTGCAGGTGCTGTTCCCTGGGCACTCCATCCCCTGCGTGCACTCATCGATATCTGCTGAGACAATGCTCCATGGCACCAGGACAAACAGCTGGCTGGGGCCCCAGGGGCACGCTGTGAGCCCTTGTCACCTGAGCAGTGCTCTCCATCCCCCGTCAGGCCAGCTGGGCAGGGGCCACAGCCACTGGAAGGGTCACATCCCACGCCAGGGAAGCATCCCTGGGAGCAGGGGTCCGGAGGGGTCTGGCAGAGGGCACCTGAGTAGCCGCTCTCGCATCTGCAGGCTGCCAGCTGGGAAGGGGATAGTGACACTGGCTGAGGGAACGTGAGGAGGATGGGGGGACAGAGAAGACAGCCAGCACAGCTGGCATGGGGACAGGCGCAGTGTCCATACCACCGAGGAGCTTTCTGGTACACTACCTGCAGGGAAGACTCCCCGAGAGTGACAGTGTTGCTGTAGTCACAGTCCTGGCTCCTGCTGCATCTGCAAAGGGTGAAGCGGAGCTGGAGGAGTGCAGAGACGTTGTTGGAGCCAACAGCCTCCAGGTTGATGGTGAATGGGGCTGTCCTACGGGGCTCCCATATGAGGGTGCCATTCTCTGCCAGGAGGAGAGGTAGCAGTTAGAGGTGGCAGAGGAATTCCATCCCATTCCTTCCCATCCCAGCTGCTCCATCTCCCCTTCCTTACCCGATATGTTGAGCTCTGGTGAGACATGGGGAATGAAGCGTGCACCCTCCCCCAAGGCACGGTACTGCCTTGTGACCTTCTGTGTCCTGAAGGCTGTGATGGATGCGTCACCAGTGATGATGGGAGGGAAGGCATCTGAGGAAAGAGCAGCCCAGCACACATGTGGCCTTGTCACCCCTTGGCTCCGACTCCCTCCTGGTGAGGATGGGGCCCCAGGCAGATGCTGTCATGGCTGCCCACCAACAAGGCCCTTATGTTGCACAGCATGGTGGCATCTCCCAGGTTTGGAGAGAAGCCAGAAATGCAGTTCCAGGAAATGCAATTCCAAAACCTTGATGGCAACTGTCCTGCTGGTGGCATCTCCCAGGACTGGAGACAAGCCAGCTGGGCAGTGCAAATCCAAGACCTTGGTGACTTCTGTCTCATATGAAGCAAGAGAGCCCAGGAAAGGAGCAAGGCACTGCCCAGTTACATCCAAGCCATGCCCTCTCAGAGGTGAGGATGTGCTCCACTTACTGAGTGCTGTCTTCCTCTGCTGGAAATTGGTTGTGAGGCTCTGGGTGGCCAGGCCCAGGGCCAGGTTCCCTGTGCTCAGTGAATCAAAGATGCACTCCTTGCTGCCGTGACACTGAGAGGCCACCAGCTCGTACTGGCTTTCATTCTCCTGCCGCAGCCGAGACAAGAAGAAGGGTGTGAAGTTCAGTGCTGGTGAGTCCAGAGGCTGAGTGAACAGGCTGTGCTCCCCAACAGCCCCTGCAAGAGAGCACGCCATGGGTACAGGCCATTTTAAGGCTTGTTGTATTTTAGGGTTCCTTTTCACAGAGCAATGAGGACACCAAACACCTTCCCTTGACATTGTTTTTGCTCAGGCAAATGTTTAAATGTCTCAAGCCAAAGCATGGCCAGAAGGTGCAGGAAGGAGAGAATCATCAAGAGGGATCCTAATCCTGGACTTACAGGTCATCCCATAGCTGTAGATCTCCTCCTCACTGCTGTTCACAGGGATGCTGGTACCATTTGGCATCTGGAAGTCATCTGCAGGGTCATGGTCCCACACACCTGGTGGAGCATCACCAGAGTGCTGGAATCCCCCATGCCAGGGCTGATCTCCTCTCTGGTGCTGGCCAGTGTTTAGTTTATACCCAGGTGTCCCTGCCCTCACAAGCACAATGCCCCAGTTTTCCACTTTAGAGTGGGAGGAGAATTTGCTCCCCAGCTCTGGCAGAGCCCTCACCCAGGAGGCCGCTGGTGCTGTTGCGGTACCAGTCGGGCAGGCTGCACACCAAGCTGAGGATCCCAGAGGTGGCTGACACAGAGACAGCCACGCTCCCGTCGAGGACAGCTGTGACAGAGGAGGAGTTGACCAGCAGGACACCAGGGCTGTAGTACACCTCCTCACCCAGGTCTGCAAGAGAAGGAGAACACAGAGGGAGAGTCCATGCAAAGCTGGCACCTGAAATGACAACCATGGATTCTGGGAGTGGGAATTCGTGGGAGTGCTGCCCATCCACCCCACCCAGACCAGAGACAGGTAGAGGTGAGAGGCATTTAATGGATCTCAGGATGGCTGCCCTAGCACTAGGCAAGGCTGGTCCCAGGGGATGGGGACATTTCTGGTTCCCCCCACATATATTTAGCGTTTAACAATAGATTGTGCTCACCTTGGGAATAGGAAAACTGGATGGTTTCGTTGTTCAGGAGGACGTGGATGTCATCCTGACTCCCCAAGGTCCACTCAACCTGAAAATCATGGTGGGTGTCCCAGTCAGCCCCTCTGCTTGTCCCTTCCTGCTGTCCCTCCAGGCTGGGAACAGTTATTAACTCTGTCTTCCTCCAGCCCAAGAAGAGAGGCTCAGCCATGGGGCCTGTGTTGGTGTGCTCTCCACCCCAGCAGACACACAGTACAGCAGCTCTGATGTTTGCACAGAAGAGGACAGAGAGCTGCCTGTCACCTTGGCAAGGGGCACACCCAGGCCGCTGCCACTGCTCAGCTGGACTTGACAGCATGGAGAGCTGTGCTGGGGGGCTCCCAGCTCTGAGCCCCCTCCTCATGCTATTCAATGCCTGCTTCTGGTGACACCAGGACATTGTGATTAGTGAAGCTAAATGAGTGTAGGGAGCCATGCTGCAAAGTCAGGAGAGCAGTCACTTGTGCTAAAGTGTCAGGACAAAGAGTGTGCAATGGAAAAGGTGAAGCAGACCATGTTCCTCCGCAGTCTCCAGCCCTTGCTGGCCTGTTTGCAGGAGGTGTTAGACCTCTGCCTGGTGAATATTAGTCCATTTCCCCATAACAGTACTTTGTTGGCATGGTGGGAGGTGACAGGAAAAGAAGAGGGGTTGCCTCTTGGGGCCCACCCACTTGAAGGTGATGTAGAGGTTATTCCCAACTTGCCAGAGAGGTCTCCCCCATTAGAGGATCAAACTCATACCCAGGGCACTCCTACTCACTGTTGTGGTGGTCTTGGAGATGTACTGGGCAGCAAAGGCCACAAAGTTGGTGGCATGGGCCATGCCAGTCTGTGCTGTTCGCCCGTGCAAAACAAAGCTGGTCCGGGCATCACTGGCCAGCAGCAGGACAAAGTCCCCAAGCCCATTGAAGGTGTAGGTGAGTCCATCCAGGGTGGTGATGTGAGGGTCCCCAAAGGCACCAGCTGGAGTCCAAAGGAGATGAAGACATTTTGGGCAGAGGAAGAAGAACAAATGCTGGTGTCATTTCAGGGAGGAGAGCAGCCCCAGAGCTGCTCAGTGGTGGCTCAGCAGTCCCCACTGGCATGGTGCAAAGTGTGGCTAAAGCATGGGGCCATGCCCAGCTCAGTGCTCTGGCACAGCAGAGGTAGAGCCTGGGCACTCACCAGGGGTGGGTGGCACATATCCTTCACAGTCAACCCTCGGTCTCTTCTCAGCAAACCTGGCACAGAACAGGGGCTTCCCCACACGCCGGCAGCACCAGTCAAATGCTTCCAGCTCTGTGTCTGGGGAGGAATGTGATGAGGTGTGTCAGGGCTCTTGCTCTGCCTATGCTTGATTCTTGGGGTATTTTAGGGTGAGGGAATGCCAGTTCCCACTTACCAGTGGCAGTGTGGAAGGGGGGGCTCCATGCTCTCTCCTGCCAGCCTTCGAGCAAGCTCCCACCTTGGTACAGACACCGTACCCCAGCTCCAGCTGGGCTGGGGGATGCAGTGCGCAGCATCCTCGTGGAGGTGTCTGCTGGGCCTGAAATAGTGGGAGGGTCACAGCCGCCCCCAGAGCAGGAGAGGACCATCCCCCCACCCTGCAGCTGGTCCTGGGGGCTGTCCTTGGCACCTGTGCTCCAGCAGTAGCGGGGATCCAGCTCTGCCTGGGGCCGGGAGCAGGGGCAGGGTGGCAGCTGGCTGTTCCAGGTGGCCGGAGCTGGCTCCATGTCCAGCCACGCCAGGCACTGCAGCCTGTAATTCACCCGGGAGCGACTGTCCAGCCTGTAAATCCACAGCCCACGCACATCTGGGGGAGCAACCACAGAGCAACACTGCTCAGCCAGGGTGTCTGCCTGTGCTGAGGGATCCCGTGGGACAGCTGTCCCTGGCCACTGACCTCACACGAGGTCTCCAGGCTCCCTCTAGAGCCAGCAGGGCTGTGGCAAGCCACAGGAGGATATGGGACACCAACAGTCTGCTCTGGGTGGCCAGCTCTTGCCCAGTGGCTTTGCTGGCCCGGGGATGGGTGTGGGGACATGCTCCTGGCACAGAGCACACAGCTCCTTCCATCCCCGCCCGCCCCAAGGACCCCCGGTGCCGTACCAGAGCCGGTGCTGCTGTGCTGGTCTGGTCGGTACTTGACAGCTGGTGGCTCCTTAGTCAGCTCGTTGTTTTGGGCATAGCCATTGCCACTGTGTGGAGAGAGGAGGTTTGAGGTAATCTTTCCAACACAGCCCTCCTCCTCTCCCCACAGAGCAGCTAGGGTGGGAACTGCTGCGTTTTTGCAAGAGAAGGGGTTTAAATGGGGCAGGATTGCTTCAGGAGTGGGAGCTGGGCTCTCCTGGGGGAAATGCCTCCGACAGTCTGAACACGGTGCTGGGACAAATCTCTGCTGTCCCCGAAGGCAGGGAGAGGCGTGCAGCACCTGGAGAAGCCGATGAGCACGTTGGCTGCAGCCAGCCTGCTGTAGTCCCAGCGCATCCCCCCGTCCTGGTACAGCAGCAGGGCGAAGGAGCGGCTCCCGTCGGTGCTGAGCACTGCCTGGTAGGTGCTCGTCTGGAGAAACCCAGGGCACCCCCTCAGTGCTCCCAGAGCCTCCCCTGCTCTCCCTGCAGAGCAGACTGAGGCTTGAAACAGCCACCAGCACTCTGCCACCTGGTGTGTCACTGCTCACCTGAGTGTCATCCCTCTGGGATGGGTACGCTGGAGCTTTCTCCCATGTCACCTTCAAGGTCCATTTTGCTACATAGGGGATTTTTAGGTATTTCTCAATCTTTGCTTCTACATCTCGGACAACAGGGTCTTGGGTAGAGCTGAGTGTAGAGTACTCCTGCCAGATGGCAAGAGAGAGAATTAAATGAGTGAGCTGGGAACTGGATTCTGCCAGAAGACCTCTGGTGGCCCTCACCTGGTACCAAGTGGTGCCAACACCCTTGGAGAAGTCTGCATCGTCCCAAAAGGCAGCCACCATTGGCAAGCTCTCCCGGCCAGTGAAGCCCCGGGGAGGGGGGTTGGGGTTAGTTGGGACATAGTTGTCCGTGGGTGGAAAAATGATCTGTCCGTTATCTGTAAACTGACCAAAAGAACTTGTTATTTGCTGACTGGGATAGCTTTTAGCCTCCATGGGTGAGCAGAAACCAACCATTTTAAATGTTAAAAAAAAATATATTCCAATGAAATTTGGTTTCTGCTCCATTTCAATGTTAAGGTTTTTTTACCAAAAAGGCAGCACATCCATTATGTGCTTACCAAAGGGGGCACTCACATAGAGAACATCTCGCAGTGACTTCCCAAAGGGAAATCCAATTTCTGGCTTGAACAGTGGTGAGTTAAATTCCACCATCCTCTGGACGTACTCTTGATCCCCTGCTTCCACGCCAAAGGGGTAGAGTGAAGTCGCTGGCTCTGCCATGGGCAGGAGATCAATGAAAAAAGTGTGAAGTCATTATTGTCTGCTTTATCCATCCTGCAGCCAGGACAAACCCACCTGCTTGCCAGGATGCTGTGCCTATGCTCTGATGGATTGTAACCCAATTTTCAACCCACTGTTGGGATGCTCTCAAATGTCCTACTTTGCCTTTTACCATTAATCTGGCAGCCCAATGTGCAATGAAGATGAGATACCCCAAACCAGGCTGTACCCTCATCCATCCCAATGCTTGACTGGCTGAAAACCCCTTTCCTACTCCTGTCCTTGGGAAAAAGAAAATGTACTTACTGATAAGTTCATGGGTGGGTTTCGGCTCAGGTGCAGGGGTTCTGTGCCCAGCGGTGGTGTGGGCAGATGTGCTCAGTTCAGTGGATGGTCCTCTCTGTGTCCCAAAGGTGTGAGACAGGGTGGTGGCAGGGCTGGTGGTGGCTGGTGGTGTCACTGGTGCCGTGGTGCTTGGGAGACTCCCTGCCTCCTTGGCTGGGCTCACTGGGGCTGTGGATGCAATAGCTGTGGTGCCTCCTGCAGTGGTGGCAGTGGTGGCTGTGGTGGCAGAGATGTTCCCTGTAGTGATGGCTGTGGTGCTGCCTGCAGTCGAGGCAGTGGTGGCCATGGTGTTCCCTGCAGTGGTGGCAGTGGTGCTGCCTGTGGTGCTGGCCATGGTGTTCCCTGCAGTGGTGGCAGTGGTAGCAGTGCTGCTCCCTGCAGGGGTGGCGGTGGTGGCAGTGCTGTGTCCTGCAGTGGTGGCAGTGGTGCTGCCTGTGGTGCTGGCCATGGTGCTCCCTGCAGCAGTGGCAGTGGTGCTGCCTGTGCTGATGGCTGTTTTCTTCTTCCAGGCAGGTGCCCCTGGGGATGTCTGGAAGGCAGGAGGTGACGTGCTTGCTGCTTGTCCCATGTTCTGGTAGCCGATGGATGCAGGAGAAGTGGTGTCTGTAGCTGACTCGGTGGCAGTCTGTCCAGCTGCTGCCACCCCAGTTGCACCAACACCAAGGAGGGATAAGGGGGCTGTCGTGGCCTCCTCTGCTGGGCTGTGCAGGCTGGGGAGGGGAGAACTGGACACTGCAGCAGCAGTGCTGGGACCAGGGACACCCCAGGGTCCAAGAGTTGTCTCCAGCAAGGGAGTTCGTGCTGCTGGGGATGGGACAGGCTGCCCACCTCCGCTGGTCTCGCTGTGTGTCACAGCAAGGGATGGGGCACTGCTGGTGCTGGTGGCCCGTGCTGTGGCAGATGGCATGGCTGTGGTGACACTGGTCACAAAGGTGCCCCAGCCTGTGGAGGTGGTTGGCAGGTTAGCATTGCTGGGGAACATGCTGGTGGATGGTATGGTGGCTGGCGTGGTGGCCAGGCTTGTGCCACTGGTGTTGGAGTCAGGGACAGGGGTGCTGCTGGTGCTGGCTGAGGGTGCTGCAGCCTCGGTGCCGCTCTCAGAGCTGGTGGTGCCCACATGGGCAGTGGCACCTGTGGCACCTGTCTGGGGTGCAGCTGTAGTCTCCCACACATTTGTGTGGCCAGCAGCCAGCGAGGTCATCCCAGGGGTGGGCTTGTTCTCAGTGACAGGTGGTTCTGGTGATGGCCTGGCAGTGACAATTGTTTTGCTGGGAGCTGGCCCTGCTTCACTGGCACCTGGGTTCTCCTCCGTGCTCACCTCCAGGAACCCCATGCTTGTTGCTCGCCCTGTGGTGCTGCCATTGGGCTGGGGGTCACCTGAAGCCCCCATTGCTTGCAGTGGGGCAGTCAGGGACAGTGGGGACGTGACTGCTGCCATCTCTTGGGGGATGCTGGTTGGAGACACCTCCAGAGCCGTCCCTACATTGGCTCTGCCTTCCAGGAGAGGGGAGATGTCAGTTTGTGATGCCATGGGGACAGTGACTGCTCTGGGTCCCCCAGGGGTATCTGATATAGCTCTGCCAGTGCCTGGTGCAGTGTTGGGTGATGGCATCTCTGTCCCTGGAGCTTCCACAATCTGGGGCCCAGCCCAGAGCACTGGGGTTAGTGCAGATCTGGGTGTGATGCCAGTTCCAGGGGTTGTTGAGCCAGCTGTGGGCCCTGGCTGGCTGTGGCTGGGGTGTGCATCAGGCACAGGCAGGGTGGCTTTGGTGTCCCCCGGCATTGTGGTGGCACTGCCACTGGCCAGTGATGCTGATCCTATCCCTGCTTCACTACTTGGAGAGTTGCTAACAGAGGAGGATGGATAGGTGGCTGGCACAGTCCCGATGCCAAACGCAGCGATGGAAGGTGGTGGTGCAGCAGCAGCAGCTCGAGGGACCCTGTCTGGCTTTGCTCCAGTCGTGCCCGTGAGGGACAAAGGCATGGCCGTGCTGGGAGTGGCTGAAGGAGATCTGCCTGCAGCTGCCTCTGCTGTGGTGGTCCCAAGGCCTGCTGAGAGGGACTGAGGGAGCAGAGAGCCCATGGACTGTGGAAGGGGCCTTGGAGAGGGACCATCAGGGTTTCTGAGAGCTGCATGGGGGGAAAGGCTCATGCTGAGCCCCCCTGATGTGTCCTTGGTTTCTGGGATGGCAGTGCCTGTTGTGGCTTTGGTACTGGCCTCCCTCCTGATGGACATCAGCTCAGTAGTGGTGCTTCCCAGAGGTGGGATGTGCTCTCCAGCTGTGACATCCATCACTGTGACCGGTGTGCCCACAGCTTGTGTGGTGGCCTGGGGCTGGTGGGTGGCGTTGTCTGCAGGCAGCCCATGTCCAGCAGTGCCCAGGGTGGTGCTGAGGCTGGGGGGAAGCGTCTCTCCTATGCCCAGCACAGCCTCACCAGGAAGCTGGGGCAAAAGGACTGCAGGCAGCTGAGTGGGGATCCCAGGAAGGTCTTGTGAGGCACTGTGGTCAGCGTTGGGTAAGGTACCTGTCTGTGGCTCTGCAGCCTTGCTGGTGCCAATGGTAGTAGAAGAAAAGGCTCCTTCTGTGGCTGTGTCAGGGGGACTGGCTGTGGCTGCTGCCATCTTCATGGGGCTGGCCCTGTCCTGAGAGGTGTTGGCAGCTGTGGCCAGAGGTGAGGTGGCCTCATCCGGCCCCGGTGTGACCTCCTGGGACAGCAGCATGGCAGTACTACATGGCTCAGAAGAGCTCCTGCTCATGCTGGAGGATGTTGTCACTGTGCTGTGCTCATCCTGAGGCAGCAATGGCTCTGTGCTCGGTGCTGTCACTGGTGTCGGCTCCACGGTGACAGCACCCAGGGCAGGACCCACTGTGTGCCCCGCTGGCTTGAAGGACAGAGGCTGTGTGTCCCAACTGGTGGTGGGAGCTGGAGGGACGCTGGTTGGGTGGCCGGCAGCACCTGTAGAGGAGACCCCAGCCCCTGACCCTGCCTGGGGGCTGCCTTGCATTGCTGGGCCCCCAGAGAGGGCTGCCGGGCCGGGAGGTCCCTCCTGCTCACTATTCCCAGCTGGGAGCAGCCCTGTCTCTGTTGCCGGTGGCACCGCGATGCCTGTGGAGCGAGACAAAGCAGCTCCAGCTGGATCAGCCCCGCCGCGGCGCCAGCAGGCAGGAACCTGCCCGCGGCCAGCTGCCTGCCGGCCTTACCTGAGCTCGGGCTGCCCGCGGGGGCGGCGGGGCCGGCGGGCCAGGGCAGCTCTGCCCGTGCGGCTGCGGCTCCGGGGAGCTCCCGGCTCATGCCTGGCTCTGAGGGCAGCTCGGCGCTGGTGCTGGTGCTCTCGGCCACATGGGAGATGCTGCCCGACTCGCATGGGTCCAGCGTGGGGACAAGGAGTTGCCCCTTCATCTCCCCGGCTTGTGCAGAAGGCAGGTGGGGGCACGTGAGGAAAAAGCCAGCCCGGAATCGCCATCACCCCCACCCCTCCTCCCTTCTGCGGGAGGACCAACACCAAAACCAGGACAGGGACATTCCCCGAGTGTGCGTCTCTCCATTTGATCCACAATTCCCGCCACCTTCCCCTGCTGCAGCTGGGGACCGCGACAAAGCGTTGGCACCCGCGGAAACAGGGCAAACCCCGGCCGGGCACTCGGGCTCGACCTTGCAGGGTTTTTTGCAGCCCATCACCCGCATGGTGTCAGGCACCTGGTCAGCCCGGCAGCATGCGAGGGACCTTGGCACTTACCTGGCAGCAGCCAGCACCCCCACAGCACCCAGCTCCAGAGCGGCCACGGGCCCCGGCACCCCATAGTGCCCCTTCGGTGTCAGGGAGGAAGGCGACGCGGCTGCAGCTCTCACTCTCTCAAGGGAGCGTGCCAAGGGTGACTCCAGCGGCGAGCACTCCCCCAGGTGGGGGGGACAGGGACACCACGTGCCCTGCCTGGGGCACTGACGTCTCCGTGTCCTCGCAGCCCGCGCTGAGGTGGCAGCGTCCCAGTTCTGGGCACCCACTGATGCTGGGGGTCACACCCATTGTGCCATGGGAAGCTTTAAGGTCCTTCCCAGGCCGACCCCAATGTTGGCAGCCCATGGATGGGGTCCCCAACCCCTGGGGAGCCACCCCGGGGGGTTCAAAGTCACTTGGCCTGAAGACACTGGGACGGCAGGTGGGGACAGGGGTCCCAAACATCTCTGGGAGGGGTGGGTCAGCCCTGGGCTCTGCACTCCCATCCACCCTCCTGGTTGCTGTCAGGTCCCTCCACACTTGGCTGCATGGCCAATAACCCCTGGCAGGGGTTGGCTTGGCACCAAGGAGGAAGAAGGAAGGAGTAGGCTAGCGCTGATGCCTTGGGGTCCCACGTCTTGACCCTGCCCTGTCCCCCCCTTGGGCACTGCCGGTGCCAGGCGTTATCTGCACATCGCGGCAAACGCCCACACACACCCGGATGGAGTGGAGGGGGTTGTTACTGCATGGGTGGCGGGGCCAGGCATTGCCCTGGGTTGCAGGTCACCTTCCACCAGCAACAGAGGCTGGATGGGCCCTGCTGCGTGAACAGATCCACTGCAGGAAATGTGTTTACTTCTTCACAAGGTCTCACGCATCTCCAGGATCACTTAAGGAGAGGGAAGGAAGGCAGTGATGGTGTTTTGCCTTCCTCGCTTCACTGACAGCCTGCCATGGCGGCTGCACCTCACACAGGAACACAGAAGCACAGAGTCCCAAGCAGTGAGGCGTGACTGTGCTCACAGCAGCACCATCTCCCTGTCTCCATGCTCAGGGAGGGCCAGGGGACCCGAGCAGAGGGAGCTGTGGGTGCACAGGATGTGGCCAGGGATGGATCCATGGTCATGCCAAGGCACCCCTTCCTCACCATGTATGGCAGGGTCTCTCCTCTGGAGCAGAGTATCCTGGGGAGCAGGGACCACCACTGTCAATGGACCTGGCAGGTTTGGGCACCAAGATCCTCCTCCACCTGATCCCAAGATCTCTTCCTGATGCTGCTAGAAGGCAGCACTGCAGGAAACCCAGCTAAGGGGCTCTGATACCCACTTGGAGGGGGGAGTGAGCACTGACACTGGCTCTGAGACCCCGCAGGAGCCACCCCTCCACTCCCTCACCTGCTCCCAGCTCCGTCTGCAGCAGAGGCACGCAGTTGCACAACAGCCACACGTGGGTGGGGGCGACGCCGCTCCCTGCCCGGGCATGAGTCAGGTGGGAGCCTCGGGCAAGGGGGCCCGGCTGCAGGGGCTCCCCTGCAGGCAAACACTGCCCACTCAGAGCAGGCACAACCATGCCCAGCCCTCCAGCGTTGGGCCTGGGGCTGGGATATACTGTGACTAACTCCAGCAGCTGTGGATGGGGAGAATTTTGCACCCTTAAGCAGCCTGAGAGGACTCAGCAGGAGGTTTTATAGATGCACATGTCACACAGCTTCCTGGGGATCCCCAAGGGTCTGTGCATCCCTTCCCGAGCTTCATCCCACAGTCACAGCCTTGTGGGGATCCCACATCCCACCCCTGGGGATCCCAAGGGTCACAGTCCCAGCTGCCTGCAGGGAGGAACCAGCACCCATGGATGTGTGGCCTGTCCCTGTGTGTTGGTAGGGATAAACCTGGGAGATGGCCACAGGTACCCTCAGCCTCTCCATAGAATATTTTTATATATATACATAATATATATATTAAAATTACATTTCTCTTTACAAAAACAATTCAACAAGGGGCCAGAGGATGGAGCCCATTGCCAAGGCCAGGGCACAAACATCCTGGAAAGGTTGTGGCACTAGGCAGGGTCCATTTTGGGGTGTCTCCACCCTCAAGTGGGGGCTCAGTCCAGAGTCCTGCAGCAGGTTGTATGGGTGGAGGCGGTGGGACTGGCCCCATGGCGAGATGCCTGCTCTGGATCCAACACAGCTCGCCCTGTCCCCGCTGTCACCACCTGTAAGGAGAAGACAGAACATGAACTCAGGGGGGGTGACAGTGCCAGTCTGCCCAGAGCAGTGTGGCACAGAGAACTGCCCCCCAAAAACATGGATGTCCCTACTTCTGGCGGGTGGCGCTGTAGGGACCGAGGAGGTGGGAGCTGGCCTGTGCCAGGTTCCAGTTGAACTTCTCCAGCACCTGCTGGCACTCACCACGGGACTTCAGCCCCAGGCAGAAGAGCTGCTCCACCTGCAAGGGGACAGGGCATGGCCAGAGGGGTGACAGGGGTGCCACCACTCTTGATGGAGCTGGGACAAGGGAACAGGGGTGTGCTGTACCTTCAGGTACTGGATAGCCCGTTGGACGTTCCAGCCATGGCTCTGAAGGGCTGCCTGGCATTCCTCGGTGGTCACACCATGCACCATGTCCTGCACCTGGGGGGGAGCTTGTGGTCACTGTCTGCTGCCACCCCTGGGCAGCAAGAAGCCTGTGACTGAAACAGGAGACCACTGGGGCTGCCCCCATCCCTGGTTCTGTCTTCAGGGAGTACTATCAGCCTGGAGCTGGGATCAGGCTCATCTCTGGGACCTTAAATCTCTCCTGGGTCTGGGTGGGCCACAATATCCCCAGCCTAGAGAGACCAAGGGGACCACAGCAGCAGCCACCTTCCTCCTCCCCAGGGCCTTCAATTCCCATTTTGGCATTGCAGTGACATTTATGTCCCCCTGAACATCTGGAGCTTTCTTGTAGCCAATCCCCTGGGGTTGAATCTGAGGCACAGGGTGGGCAAAGCTCTTGCCCATGTAAGCTCACTTCTCATGGATGCTGGGGGATGACACTTACCAACCGGATCTTGTCAGCAGGACGGCAAACATCCGGCCCGTCGTACACAATCTTCTGGAGGCTGCAGGAGGCTTTCACCAGGCACTTGGGCCCAGGGTTGCTGTTGTTGGAGGAAAAGTTGCCCTTGCAGTCTGACAGTGGCTGCTGCACCATGGGACGGACAGTGGCTGTGGTGACCTGGCGGGACGCTGCCACCTCCTCAGGGCTTTTAGCCTCCTTGAAAAACTTCTCATACTTGTCCAGGTAGGCCGGGCGCTCAGGCAGCAGGTAGTAGTGAGTGCTGCTCACCTTCTGCCCATCCTTCACGATGGGCAGGATGCAGGGCCCCTTGGAGCAGTCCTTGCCCTGCGCCTGGATGACCTTGGGGGTGGCGTACTTAGGGTCGAGGGCGAAGCTCTGTGTGGTGGGCATGGGCTTCCCTGGTGAGGTGGAGAGGCAGGAGCAGAGGGCAGCACGCTGCTGGGGTGAGCCCACCTGCAGAGCCATGGGGCTGGGTGTCCGAGAGGTGGGCCGGGACAGCGGGTCCCGCGGGGGGATCTGGGGCGGCCGGTCCTCCTCGCCCCCCGAAGCTGGGGAGAGGTCCCCTGACCAGCGCCCAGGCTCATTGCGGCGAAGGGGCCGGGGCGGGATTGGGACGCGGGGAGGGATCTGGGGCTTGTCATCAGCTGGTGCAGCCGGTCCCAGAGGGACGTTGAGCCTCTTCATGCACTCCTGCTGCAGCTCCTCGAAGAGCTCGGTGGTCTGTGTCATGCTGGGCTGCTTGGTCTCCTTGGGGGGCAGGAAGAGGTTGTCCTCCAGTGCCGGTCCCCGCTCACCCTCATCCACAAAGCCATAGTTGGTCTTTCCCCGCCGGCTTGGGGGGCTGGTGATGGAACAGACCTCAATATCGTCCTCATCCTGTGCCACATCATCATAGGCAGGCGGTGGGGGCAAGGGCCGGGCATCCCAGTCCACCACCGGTGTGGGGTGCAGAGGCCGAGGCAGAGCCCGCGTGGGGCTCTGTGGTGGGGTCTTGTCCAGCAAAGAGAAGGCTTCCATGGCCAGCTCGGCTAATGACAGGGCTGTCAGCTCTCCCACTGGAGAGGGGCTACCCTGGGGAACTTCCTCCCCAAAGTCAATGAGAGTCACCTCGCTGCTTGCTGTCCCCTCGCTTGCCAGCCGTCTGGGTTGCCGCTCGCCCACCTTGGTGCCCGGGACTCGTGCTGATGGCTTGGCTGGTCGCAGACCCTTCCCTGTGCCAGGCTTCTTCAGGCAGAGCTTCCGGAGACCTCCTGGCAGACCCTCCTCCTCCTCACTAACTGGGTCGTAGCAAGGCTCTAGAAGGGGGCAAAGAGAGATGGTGAGGGTCCCAGAACCCATCCCTAGGGTGTGAGAAGGGGCATCCACATCTCCAAGCCCCCAAACCACCCCAAACCACCCTCTTTGCTCTCAAGCCATATTAGGGCACCTGCCCCAGACCACCCAGGTAAGAGAGAAAAGAAAGGGGGCATTAAGAAGGGAAAGCAGCACTCAAAGAAGCCCAACTTACTGGTGAGCAGGACGGTAGGCTGAGGTGGGCGCGGAGGAGGCTGCCCTGCAGAAGACAGAACCCAAGAGAAGGGGAAGTGTAGGGTGAACACAGAAGCGGCAGCCAGGGTGCTTGTTAATGGGGTGCATGCTTTGTTGTGTCCCCCTTCACTGGTGGGGCATGGGGAGGATGCTGGTGGGAAGCCCCCCCAAGGAAAAGCTGTAGGTTTAGGATTGGGGCATACGCACAGCATCTGTGTTCCCTCCCCGTGGCAGCTCTGCTGAGATCCCTCGTGCTGGGGAGCCCAGCTGTGGGAGGCCAGGAGGGGACAAGGGACTCGAACAAAGGGCAGCAGGGCAGAGTCCAGCCAGGCAGAGCCACCAGCTGCCCATGCTGCTGGCAGTGGTGTATGGCCAGGTGACAACACAGCCCATCACCCAAGCTCCCCCTGCTCTGCAAAAAGCAAGTGCCAGCAGAGAGACAGAAAGGAGAGGGTCCAGCCCATCACCCTGGCAGCAGGGTACAGGGATGGAGGCTTTGCGCAGCTGATGGGCAGGAGGAAGGAGAAAAGTACTCACTTTTAGCTCTCCCTGGAAGCTGTGTAGGTCTGGCAGCAGTTTGGTCCACACCTAAAATATCAGGAGGGTCCAAGGGATTTCCCAGGTACAGCCTGTGGGGACAGAGGAGAGTGCCTGGGAGTCAGCAGGGGCCATGTGGGACCCCTTGCTGACCAGGTTTGTGCCTTGGGACACCCCACAGCTCCTCTGCCACACAACCACACCTGGCGAGTACCTGTGAGTGCTGGGGCAACACACCCCAGAGGCTTCCAGTGCTACAGCACAGAGCCTGGTACCATCCCAGTGCCACCCCACCCATCTCCGGCTCCACGTGCATCCGTGGCTGCCTGCGCTGTGCCCAGGGGGCTGCAAGCAGGGCACTGCGTGCAGGGTACCTGTGCAGTGTGCGGTGCCCAGGACACCCCTGCAGCCCCGGGGCGATGCTGTGCCCCAGGCAGGATGCCCCGGTCCCGTGTGCCGGTGGGTGCTGGGAGGCCCGGGCGAGCCGTCGCAAGCCAGGGAGCCGGCGGGAGCCGGCGCAGCCCCAAGGCTTGGGCGTGTGCCGAGCTCGGTGCGTTCTCTCTCGCAGCCCGGGCAGCACGTACCTAGCGCCCGTGCCCACGCAGTGGGGCGCGGGGAGGCCTGCCGGGGCACGAGCCCGATCCGCGCGCACGGCGCCGCGGCTCAGCCCTCCCGGGGCCGCCAGGACAGCCCGTGACACGGGGTGCTGCCGAGGGTCAGGCTGGGACTGAGGGAACCGGCAGAGCTGTCCCAGGCCTGGAATAACAAGCAGCAGTCGGGATATCCCAGGGGATGGACTGAGCCTAGCAGAGGAGCTGGCCCTACACACCAGGAGCTCTCCAGTTTTTGAAATCCTATCCTGTCCCCCACCACAGTGACCTCCCACATCCCTCCAGCCCAGTGCTGGGAGAGACCCCCACATGCTCCTTGCCAAGGTGCTCCTGCTCACTGTCGCACAACCAGTTCCACCTGGCAGAGAGCACGTGGGACACCGGAGCACAAGCACTCAGCCCCCCTTCCCCACATCACAGTCCAGCCAGGTGTCTTCTGATAGAGCAGGGGGGAGAAAAAAATCATTTCAGTGGATTTTTTTCATGTTTTGCTTTTCAAAAAGAATCATGCTGTTAGAAGCGTGGGGACAGGCTGCAAGCCACGCACATTTAGCAGCCCTGGGACACCCCAAAAGTGTTTTGGGATAATGTGGCCACCTCTGGGGTGGTGCTTACTGATGTCTCCCTGCCCCAGGACAGTCACAAAAGTCTTCCCCCCTAGGACAGCCACAAGCACAGCAGCCCCCCACGTCCCCTAAACCCATTAGTAGGAAGAGGCAAGGAAGTTAGTCCAGCTGCAAGGACCCTACCCAGAGGCACCATTCCCAACACAGCAGGAGCAGAAAGAGATGCTTCACGGGCAAAAGGGGGGCAGTAGCCAAGCCGCGTCTTGCTCCCGAGCCCAGTGGGCAGCTGGGAAGGGAGGGAGCAGGCAGAGGATGCAGAGAAGACAAAAAGTTTCTTACTCATCAATTTTATCGGGAAACCCCCAGCAGTGCTGCGGGTTGGTGTCTCCATGGCCTGTGTGGATGAAGCTGTTTTTAAGTGGCTGGCTGATGTCGTGGGCTGACAGCCCTGCCACCGAGGTCACCGTGTTTCGGGGAAATTGGCCCACTTTTAGGGTCCGTTTATTCTGACCCCGCCACCAGTAATTCTCGGCCCTAAGGAATAAAAAGGACCTCGTTACTGATGAGGGGATGGGAGGTTGACACGCGCCTGCCCCAGTGATGGGGAGGAGGGAAGATGACTTGTCCAAGTGCATGAAGGCATGAGGAGACACAAGGGGGAAGGGACTCTGGGTGCCCAGGATCCCAACCCTACACGGCACTACGCTTTGGCTCCCATCCCACGTGGACCCTGCACCACCAGGTGCAGGGAATGCAAGTAGTGGGGAACAAAGCTCCGTGCTTGCGTCCCAAAAGATATGCCCCTTCCTCCTCCTTGCTGCCTAAAGGTACACAGGAGCCTTGGGGCGATGCCTGCACCAAGCTCTTTGTCACCAATCCCTCTGTGCCCCACATACTAAAGGATAGCACATGGAACACGCTTGGCATCCGATGGGGGGCCCATATGGGGGACTGTGGGGTCCCATATAAGGGGCTATGGGGTCTTCCTTCCCCCCATATGGAGAGGAGAGCCCACAGCTCTCCATTCCTACTTTATCAATGAGCCTTGTGCAGGCTCATGCAGGCAGGGGGAGATGGGCAAAAGGCAGGCTTAGGCTGTCAGTCTTGCTGAAGCCATCTGAGTGGCCCAAGCCACCCTGGGGTACTGGTCCCCAGTGTGTCCCCAAGAAGTTGTCCAGGACACAGCCACTTCTGGGGAGAATGAGGTGGTCATCTAACCCAGAGGGACTGGTGGGGGGAACAGGGATGGGGCAGGGAAAGGCATCCCAAGTGGTGTACCCCACCCAGCACCATGCCAAATAAAATGTGGGGGTGCTCCGACCCTAAGCTACTCCCCTGCCTGTCAGGGCCCTCCATGCCCATGGGCAGGGTGTGTGCTGTGGGCAGGGGGCAGTGGCAGTGTGGGTGCCAGCCTGGTGAGGCTGGCACGGGCCTGACAGTTTCCTGGAGTCACCTGTGAGTCACCCTCGGCCACCAGCTCAGCCCTTTTCCTGTTTACCTTCCCGCTGCCGCCAGCCAGCCGCCTTACTCAGCGTGGGGACCCCTCAGCAGAGCTCCGGCAGAGCCCAGCCGGTACCGGGCATCCTCCCTCACCGCGGCAGGCTGGGGGAACCGGGGGTACAGCTCCCCTCCCTGGGAGCTCCCCTCCACCCGCCGTCCCTGCGCCCCTCGCTGCCACATCCCGACCAAAGGATGCTGCAGCCGGGCCATCCCTCCGCTCGCCCCGCTCCCACCGACCCCGAGCTCGGACCCCCGGCACAAACCCGCTCCGGTGCTGCCCTGGCTCCTCTCCCCGCGACAGCCCCCTCCCACGAGCGGCTGGGTCCCCGGGGGGCTTTCAGGGAGGTCCCTGCCCCTGCCCACACACACGTACGCACAGCCGGCGCCCGCCGAACGACAGGCAGGGGCTTGAAAAGGGGTGGGGGGTGTTTACGGTGCCCCGGGCGGCTTCGGCAGGGCCGGATGCAGCCCCCGGCAGGAGGCCGCCCCCTTTCCCCCCGCCACCTCTGCCCGAGCATCCCCATAAGCAGCGCGGTGGGGGTGCCTGCTGCCGGGGAAACTGAGGCACGGAGAGGGGGCTCCCCTCCGGGAGTACCGGCAGTCGCTGGGGCTTCTGCAAGCCCTCGGCTGCTGAACCCACCGCCTGTGCCCTGAGTCCGCACCCCCAAAACCTACCCACGGGGGTCACCAAGGACCGGCGTCCCTCGGGGAAACTGAGGCAAGGGAAGCTGCGCCCCGGCTGTACGCCACTCCCGGCAATTCCCGCCCGACGGGGAACCTCCGGCCCCTCTTCCCGCTCTACCCTTCCCTGCGCGGCTCACCTGGGGCTGGCGGCGGGGCGGGGGGCGCGGAGCCGCAGCCCGGCCGCGATGCGGCGGCAGGGACGATGTAGGCGCTCTGGCACGGCCGCACCGCCCTCCGCCGCTCCTTCCCTCCCTCCGCCGACGCTGCTTCCCCTCCCCTTCCCTCCCTTCAATTAAACCGCCAGACCCTGGGCAGGAGTCATCCCCGCGGCGGCGGACCGGGAGCAGCCGGTCCCTGCAGACACACAAACCAGGCCTGATTCACTCCGGGTTGTGACTAAAGCGCGGGGAGCCGGCCCGGGGCGGGGGACAGGGAGGGACGGGGACAGAGCCCTCCTCCTCCTCCCCTCGGGGTTGGGAGGCCGCCTCTAGTGCAGGCGCACAGAACTCCTCTGGGAGGTCCCCACTCTCGCCCAGCTGGAAGGTGACAGGCACATCCTGGCATGGGGATGCAGGGACAAAAGGGTCCCCTGCTCCAGTCCCAGGTTCCTGGGGCGGTGGAGGGGTGGCTGTGCCCTGCCATGGTCAGCAGGGACCAAGGAGCCCACAGCGGGTTCTACCAGCATCTACCAAGCCCCACGGTGCCTCTCCCAGCCCGATGACAGCAGCAGTGTCCGGGTGCTGGCAGCACGGTCCCCACTATCAGCAGGGAGGGGCCCTAGGGTGTGCAGTTTCCCTGGGCAAACCCACGGGCACCGTGGGCTGAGTCAGCAGGGGTGGTGTGGGCAGGACTGTGGGCAGGGCTGTGCCCCCCCCACCGGGGTGGCCCTACCATGCTGTGCTGCCTGGGGAACCACAAACATACCAGCTCTGCCCACCCGTGGGGTACACGGCCAGGGGTGCTAGGGACAGAGCCCATCCCTTCCCCTCCCTGCTTCCCACAGCTCTGCCAGTGCTCACAGTGTCCCCATTCCCTATCCCGATGCAGGCTGGCAGGCAGTGCATCCCCCTCTCCAACAGCTGCCACCCTCCCATGCAGTACCTGCCCTCAATGACCGTGATGATGTCGTTCATCTGGATGTGCAGCTTGTCTGGTTCCTCAAAGTCCTGCAGCGCTCTCATGTCGGTGGGCTGAGCCTAGGGGAGAAGTGGTGAGAACAGGGGATGCAGCCCCTCATGTCCAGCCTCTTCTGAGGCCAGGCCCAGCTCCAAGGAGGGCAGAGAGGCCCCAAAAATAGACCAGAGACAGCATCACCACTAGCCCCTCCTCAGGTGTCACATCCCTGGGGTGTGTGATGGCAAGGCAGAAACCAGGTGCTTCCTGCTGTGACCATGTCACCACCCTCCACCTCCCAGCCTGCAGGGCTGCCTGGCCTGAGCTCCCCATGTCACCTCCCACCTTGGCAATACTCTTAGCTCTATCCATGCTTGAACAGAGCTGGCAGCACAGGGTGTTGGGGCTCCAGTCCCCCTCCCTGCTCACCCACCTCCACCAAGAAGTCTCTCAAGGCCACAAAGGTGGGTCGGTCCTCGGGTTTGTGTGCCCAGCACTGCAACATGACGTTGTAGATGTCCTGGGGACAGTCCTCAGGCCGTGGCAGCCGCTCACCCTCCTTGTCTATCTTGTGCAGGATCTGTGGGACGGGGTGTGCTGTCAGGGTGTCCCAGATCCCCCTCAGCCACCAGCAGGGTGAGGTGAGGGGGCAGGTCCCTGCTGTACACCTACCTGGCTGCCATTGAGGCCAATCCAAGGCTCCTGGCCATAGGTGAACATCTCCCAGAGGGTCACTCCGAACATCCAGGTGTCACTGGCGTGGGAGAAGGTGCGTGTCTTCAGGCTCTCGGGAGCACACCTACAGGGGGAAGGACATGAGCATCAGAAGGCCATGTGTGCTGCCCCTCCAGGTCTCCCCCTCCCCAAGGCTCACCAGGCAAAGGGGACCTTGCGGTGCTCCTGCATCACGTAGTGATCGTCATTTTTGGGCAGTGCCCGCATCAGACCAAAGTCCCCGATCTTGACGAGCTCATTGGAGGCCAGCAGGATGTTGCGGGCAGCCAGGTCACGGTGGATGAAGCGCTTGGACTCCAGGTAGGCCATGCCCTTGGCCACCTGGATGGCATACTGGCACAGGGTGGAGATGAGGAAATGGCCCTGGTTCTTCCGCAGCCGGTCCAGCAGGGAGCCCAGTGGGGCCAGCTCTGTCACCTGGGCCATGGCATGAGGACAGCAAGCAGGTAAGTCCAAGGCCACCCTGGCTGGGCTGGTTTCCAGCCTTCTTATGCCCCACTGGGAATGCCAGCAGAGGGCTTGGGGTACAGACCCAGCCTGGCTTGGCTCATGCCATGATGTGGGACCTCCTCCCCATAAGGGTGTCATTGGGGTGGGCCCCATCACCCCCCACTCACCATCTTCATGGGGTGGGAGAGCACCACGCCATAGAGGCGGATGAGGTTCCTGTGGTCCAGGGAGTGCATGGCATTCACCTCCCGGATGAAGTCGTCCAGTGCCTCCGGCTGGCTCAGCACATCTGTCTTGAGGCACTTCACTGCCACATTCAGCTATGGCCAAAGCAGGGATGAGTTCCAAAGTATCTTCCCCTGTGCGTGGTCCCACTGCCTGGCTCCCCACCCCCCAGAGCAGCCCCTCACCGTCTTGCCAGCAGGTGTGCACCACTCGCCACGACGTACGACCCCAAAGGAGCCATCACCCAGCTTCTCAAAGATTGAGAGGTCCCGCTCCCGCACGAGGCAGGTGAGGGAGTGCTGGCCCCCAGCTTCGGGGGGTGGTGGTGTGGGAGGCTTGCGGAAGGTGCTCTGGGGCTGGGGCGGCAGCTCCGACTCCGGGCGCTTCCCACTGAACACCTGTGGGACATGGAGGAGGGTGAAACGTGGGCATGAAAACATCCCAAGCCCTTGGGTCTGTAAGTGAGAAGTTCTGGCACAACTCCTTGCCTCAGCTGTACACACTGGAACCTAGTGATGACCCACAACTGGACCCATAACCCAGAGAAGGCTGGTTGTGGGAGAGGGCTCTGTTCCTCCTGCTGCCACTGAGCTGTGATTCCCATGGAGGGAAGAGCTTGTTTCTCTTGCAGCAGTTCCCCAGCAGCCACAGCAAACCAGGCCGGTAGCCAGAGAGCCCTGGGCACTCCTTGGCCAGGCTGAGGCCACACAATGTGCCTGGGCACAAAGCCAAGGGAAACCTCCAGCTTGGGCTGAGCCTGGTGACACATCCCTGCAGCGATGTGGGCTTTGCAATGCGTGCTGGCTACCACCACTCAGAAGGGGTGGGCCCTCCTTCCATCTCCCTCAGCTGGGATGGATGATGTGCCCCATGAACAGGGTCCACCCCAGACTTGAGGCAGGGTGTGCGGGGGCTGGGCCCAGCATGTGTCTGGGGTGGGAGGTGGCATTTCTGCAATTTGTTCTTTAATAGAAGTAGCCTTCTATTAAAAGCCCATCCTCATCATGTCCCAGCACAGACAAATCACGCAGGGGAGAGGCCATGGCCCAGTGCCCAGCTGGCAAACTGGGCTCTGCCAAATTCTGCTTCTGGGTGCCAGGTGCCATAGGGTGCCAGCAGTACCAGCTTTGGATGGGATGGTATCAGGGCATATGTGAGCATCCCAAGGTCCCCTGTCACAGTGTGGCCCAGCCTGCAGGTACAAGGCTTTGCCCCCTCGCTGTCCTGGGCACCACTGCTGCCCACAGAGCTCTCTGGAGCAAGGCTCTCTGGCTTGCTTGCTGCAAACAAGTTTCCTGACAAAGAGGCAAATAACACAAGAGGAATGAATTTTCCAAGTGCTGGGGTAGCAGGGCTATCCTTTGATGGAAAGTGACCCAGGAGCCTGAGGGGGATTGAGAGGCACACTGGCAGGGTCACAGGCAGTGCATGGATGGCAGCAGCTTCTGCCCATTTCCCTGTCAGCCTCCAGGGATGTGGGGGAGCCAGGCACCCTGAATGGGTACAGGGAGGGATCCAGATCTTCCTGTCTGCCTTAGTTTCTCTGCCACACCTGTCCCTCTCCCATCCCTACCTTGCTCATCCAGGATTTCCGCTTGCACATGGCTTTCCTCCGCTTCACTGCCTCCCACAGCCGCCGCTGGCCTGCAGGACACAGGGACACAGTGACTGTCACAGGCTAGTCGTGGTAGGGGTCCCCTCCAGCCCCACATGCTCCTGTGGGCTTCCCAGAAGATGCTGCACATGCAGCCAAGGGTAGGGGGAGAGGTTTGGCGGTGATGTACACACCGGGGCGTCCCATGCCAATCTTCTCCAGATCCTCATTTTTGACGTACTCGAAGTGGGAGAGGCGTGTGACGTTGAGCTCGTCTCGGATGCGCAGGAAGTACTGCTGCAGCTGCAGCTCGGTGAGCAGCTCCAGCAGCCAGTCTGTGCCCTCCTCCGCCTGCATGCTACAGCTCAGCCTCTGCTGGGACACAACATTGGGTTAAGGGCAGCCCTGCTCTGCTCCCCTCTGCCCTATCCCCACTGGGGAGTCACCCAGAGGAGCTCAGGACCAAGGCTGGGGTGCTGCTGTGAGGGATATGAGTGGAGTCATCTCCTGAGCCTGTCACCAGCTCTCTGGGGGAGGCCAACACAGGCACCTCAATCAGCAGGACCCCCAGAGATAGGAAGGACACCCCAGTCTGCCCTGTCCTGCCCATAGAAATACCAGCCCACCCCTCCATTCCAGCACAGGCTATCCCCTGGTCAGGAGTGCCAAGGACACAGGAGGAGGCAGAATCTCAGGACAGATGTGCCTGCCCAATTCCCTCTGCTCAGTTGGAAGGGCTGAGCAGGGCAGTGACAGCTGTCCCCAGCAGGGACAGCCACCATGGCCCCCTGGCATGCCGGCACACTTGGCTGAGCTGTCGTACAGATTCACAGTGGGTCTCCTCTGCTATGGGTGGTGGCACCTCACTGGGCAGACACAGGGAGGGGGCAGACAGGAACATCTGCCCTCTGGAGGGTCCTGTTGCTCCGGCGCTGAGGTACAGGACACCCCAGTGCTGCTGGCATCAGCCCCAAGCTGTGCCAGGACACAGAGAGGAAGGGCTGGAGCCCCATCCTCTCCTCCTAACTCCCCATCCCTCCCTGTTGTCCTGGCTCTTCCCCACTTTAACCACCACGGTTCTGCAACGAGATACGGCTCTGCCTCCTCCTTCTGAGAGCGGGAGGGAGGCTGGGACTCGCCATCGCAGCTCCACAGCACGGCAGCCCCCTCCATCCTCTCCTGTGCCCTGGGAGACGACATGGCCTCTGGCGTCTTCACCCGCTGTGCTCGGCTCCCTCGG